CCATACACAGTCGTATTCAGGAACTACTGCTGATGAAAAGGCGGAAATGATTTTTCCCCCAAGTGTATTTCTACAATATATAACCGTACAAGATGAAAAAAAGAAGAACGTGTGGGGAGAGGGAGAGGCAGAGTAGGGGAGGAGGCATCAGCGAGCCCCGCTCTTATGATGTGCACTGTGGCGTACGTATGCTGTTTTTTTTTCTTTACTTTCGTTTGTGGTTGTGTTGTTTCTCACAAGTTGTGCTCAGGAGGCCGAAGGAAGAGGCCTTTGAGGAATCTGAGAATGATTGATGTCTGCTTTTCCCCATGACTTCTCCCTCTCCCACTGCAGTTGACTATCCGTTCAAAGTGAGAGAAGGAACTAGACGTAAGGAAGGAGTGTTTAATCAAAAAGAAAAAAAAGAGAAAGAAACGTACATATCAATATATATATTGATATACGTTTGATATTATTTATAACTACAAGCGAAGCAGCGAAGGGAACAAACGCCAAACCAAAAAGAAGAGGAGGGACACAGGCATCATGCCAACTCTTGCCGTTGCACGCGATTACTTGTTTGACCTTATTGGGAAGAAGTACACGGAGGAACAATTTGAGGATGTGTGTTTTGAGTTTGGTGTGGAACTGGATGACGTCACGAGTGAGCGGGAGATGTTTAGCCGTGAACAAGGGGTTGCCGAGGGCGCCAGGTTGGAGGAACTCTCCGACGAGGTTATTTACAAAATTGACACCCCCGCTAACCGCTACGACCTTCAGTGTGCGGAGGGGATGGCGGCAGCGCTGAAGGTGTTTCTCGGCTTCATGCGGGCTCCCACCTTCAAGTTGCTGAACCGCAGCAACCCATTGTACAAGATAACCGTGGAGAAATCAGTGCGGAACGTCCGCGACTATGTTGTTTGCGCCGTACTGAAGGACATTCGTTTTAACGAGCGCAGTTACAGAAGCTTCATTGATTTTCAAGAGAAGCTGCACTCTGGACTCGCCCGTCGGCGGACCCTGGCCTCCGTGGGAACGCACGACTTGGATAAGATTGGGTGTAACGATTTTGTGTACATGTTAAAGTCTAAGGAAACGATTTGCTTTGTGCCACTTAACCAGCGCGGCCGCCTGCTTGACTGTACTGGGGACGGTCTAGCAGAGTTCTACAAGGAGGATCGACACATCTCAAAGTACGTCCCGCTTCTCTCTGGCCTTAGTCACTATCCGGTTATTATGGACGCTAAGAAACAAAAAGTTCTTTCCCTGCCACCCATCATCAATTCTGACTATTCGTGCATCAGCAAGGAGACCAAAAATATCTTCATAGAATGCACCGCACCTGACCACTACAAGGCCACTGTGCTGGTCAACCAGATGGTGTGCGCCTTCTCAACCTATTGTGAGGAGCCCTTTACAGTCGAGGCGGTGCAGGTGAAGTATGAGGAGGCGGCGCCGGATGGCACCACAGTGGTGGTGACACCCAACCTGGACCCTGTTGTCGAATCCGTAAAGCTTTCAAAGGTGGAGCGGTTAATTGGAATCAAACTGGACTCCACACAGCAGTGCTGTAAACTTCTCGAACGCATGCTGCACCGCGTTGCCAAGGTGGAGAATGACACCATTGTCGTTGAGGTTCCCCCAACTCGACCAGATGTTCTTGGGCCAACAGACCTCATGGAGGACGTTGCCATTGCTTACGGCTACGACAATATCAAATACGTTGAGTGCACCACGCGAGGCAAGGTGACGCAGCAGCCGGTCAGTAAAATGTCACATCTGCTGCGCATGGAGGTGGCGAATGCAGGTTACATGGAGCTTTTAACATTTTCGTTGTGTTCTCGTGATGAGGCCTTTGCGCGTCTAAACCGTGAGGACAACGATGTCGCGGTACACATTGCTAACCCACAGACGATGGAATTTCAGGTCTGCCGTCCCTCCCTAATGCCAGGCATTCTCAAGACACTTAACGCGAATAAGTCACAACCACTGCCGTTGCGTTTCTTTGAATGTGCGGATGTGGTGCTGATAGACAATGAAAACAACTTTCCACCTATTATCAGGCAACATTCTGACTACCCGAGGTGTGGCGCAAGTAACCAACGCCACATTGCCGCCCTCCATTGCTGCAGTGAGAGCAGTGGCTTCGAGGATATTCATGGTCTGGTTGAGTTTATCATGATAAAGCTTGGTGTTCCGCGAAAGGGTGACGCTGCTGCCGAGGCAGAAGAAGACACATACACTTTGGAGAGGGGAACCGACGGCGCCTTTTTCCCGGGGCGCTGCATGGACATCTTGCTTCATCGCAAGGGTCAAAAAGTGTGCCTAGGCGGCTTTGGTGTCGTTCACCCGAACACACTCCGAGCGTATGATATTCCATTCCCATGCTCGTACATGGAGATGAATGTTCAATTTGCCCAGTAGGAGGGAGAAGAAGAAAAGCAAAAAAAAAAAAAACGGAGTGGTGAGGTGAAAGGACGCAGGGAATGAGGCAAGAGAGCTTGGATACATAAGCGTTGAGGTCTATGTTCTAGGTTCAGCAAAAGAGAGGGAAATATTTTCCATTGCTTTTGTCGTTTCACTTTCGCGTGTATGTGTGTGTGTGCCGCTGTTTTTCCGGTGGTGGGTGCGTGGCGGATTGGCGACGGCCCAGTGTGGGGGCAACCGCAAGGAAACCCAGAAACACCAGAACGAATCTAAGAATAAAGTTCCATGTGGATTATTCTTTTCACTAATGAACATGACTGCATCTTTGTTTGTTGTTATTGTGGCTGCTGTTGTTTACGGCGACCTTGTGTGAGGATTAGGGAGAAGAGCGGAAGCCCATTGCGCCCAGCTGACTCCACCTTTGTGTACTCTGCTTGTTTTTTTTTGTGTTTTTGTCTTTGCCCTTTTGTTCCTTTGCTTGCCTGTGTCACTGCAGTGTAGTTTAGGTCTGTACTTGTGTCGGCTGTGGACGCGGGTGCGTTTCTTTAAAAAAAAAAAAATATTATTACAATCGACCTACAGAGAAGAAGGAATAACTTAGGCGGTCCGAATCAAGCCGGGGCGCAGTGGAATCCCAGGAGGATATTATAACTGTCTAGCTAGACACGTTGTTCTGATTTCATTTTTTGCTTGGCTGCTGCTTCCTCTTGTTGTCGCTGTTCTTTTCTTCTCTGCCCTGTGTGTGGGAAGGAAAAGAAAAAAAACGCAAGGTACCTTGAGAGCGGCCGACGTGTGAGGTGTGGGGTGGGTGGGGCGGAGTTTAGGCTTTTTCTGCGTGTGAGTGGCGCTGGCAGGTATGTCGGCACCCTACAAGAAGACGAACACCCACAATGTGCCCTGCTTCTACTTCAAGAGGGGCGCTTGCACGAATCAGCGCTGCCCGTACCTGCATGTGCGTGGGAAGGAGTCAGGCGGTAACGCAGGCGCGGTGAAATTGTCAAGCGTTACCTTGGGCTTACCGGATGCAGCGACAAATTTGCTCTCAACAATGCTGAAGCTGGTCTTTGAGAAACAGCAGCAACGGGTGTATGACGCGTCGTCTGGGATGTTGGACCTGAGCGAGTTGAGGAAGTTTCCAGACCTAAAGGACGTCTCAAACTCCATTAACTTTAATACGCAGAACTTCTGCCGCGCTCTCTGTTCGACGATAAAGTCACTTATTGTCCCACCACCCTCTGCTATGCAGTTAAAGGGAAATGATATCACTTCCCTTTTTCACCTGGCAGGCCAGATGGAAAAGGCGGATTTGCACATGTCGCTTCGGGCTCTTTCGCTAGAGGCAAATAATATTAGGACGATGGATGCACTACAGGAACTTAAAAAGTTCATGAATTTACAGGAGTTGGTGCTTGTGGGTAACCCTGTGGCAAAGCGTGATGACTACCGCATGGAAGTGAAGAAGGCATTGCCGTTTCTCCTTGGACTGGATGGGGAAGGCATCGCGGTTCCGCCACTGTTATTGCCATGGCCACGATTTGCGACTTCCGAGTACACCGACGCGCAGCGGCATGTGCTTCAGTTTGTCCAATGCTCATTGCTGAATCCACTTGAGGCGGGTGAGGTGGAGCGGGTTTCACAGGGCGTGGATGCAGTATCAGATATTTATGCGCAGAAGGCCATTCTCACCATTTCCCTTTCGTCACCGGAGGCTGCAGTAAGTTCGCCGGCGCGAAGCGTAAATGGCTTTTCATTGGCGTCTACGCAGCGCAACGTCATTCGCGAAATTGTTGGTCTCCGGCTAAAACAGACAGAGAGCAATCACAACTTGTTGCATGGCGTGAAGTCAAGTGTTGTGGCGTGCGGGCGTACAAAGGTCTGCTCACAGCTGGAACACTGGTTGTATCCCAAAAATTTTGCGGTTCAACACTTCGTGCACAGCAGTGCAAGCGCCTCGTTTCTGGATAACACGTACCTGTCTGGCCCCGCACCTGTGGCGATGAAGGTGCCGGTGACTGTGGTGACGTTGCATGGCGTGATGACGTGGACCCACCTCAGTCCGCAAAGTCAGAATAACTCTGATCGTGTGGTCATTTATCGCAACTTCACACGAGTACTTACTGTTCAGCAAAACGAGGCGGGCCGTTGGTTGGTGACGAACGATATGGTGTCACTGTACCTATTTTCGGGGAAGACAGCGGGTCTATCCAAGAAGGGAGAAGCTAACGCCGATATTTCAGCTGACGTGAGTGAGTGCCGTATCCTGTTTAGTCCCAGAACCGATCGCAGTCGCGCTGAGTTGCTTGGCAGGAAAAAAGATGTACCAGTGGAAGTGGTTTTAGCACTAAGCCAACATGTGAGCAATGATGCAGAGCTGATGGCGGTGCTCGGCGACATTGGAGGGGTGCCACTGAGCATGTATGAGCACTGCGCTGCACTAACAGGTGAGAATATACTAGAAAGTATTCAAGTTTGCCGCATAGGTAACCGGTTTGGATTGGCCCCACAGGAAGGTTTGGAACTGCTGCGCAGGGTGGGTGGTAATTGGTGTGCTGTAGAGGAGGCAATGGGCACCGCCGTAGGAGTAACAACATCACAGGTAGCATAGAGGCGACAACAGATTGCAAACCCTTTGTGGTTCGACCCAACCTCAAGCAGCGGCCCACCCATGGGGGTTTGGCGTTTGTGCGACTGTTTATTCTTATTATTAATAATAACATTTGTTTTTTGTGCTTCTGGTGCTGTTTTTGTGATGTTTGTGTTGTTGTTGTTTTTTTTTGGGGGGCTTTCACTTAGATTTAACCCTGTTTGAGCCTTTCAGGGTACTTCTGTGTGAAACCGCGTGTTCTGCATTGGTTCTTAGAGGAGGAGTATATGCAGAGCTTATGCAGGCGAGGATCACTCTTATGGAGAAGAGGAGGCCACACTGACCTCGTGCTAATGGAAACATAATAGATGGCCCCTGCAGCAGGTTAATAGCTGTGTTTACTTTGTTCTGTACTTGGTCGCTTTCCCACCACCACCCTACGTGCTTTTATGGGGGCTTGCACGCCTGTCTTTCTTTGAGCGTATGCGCCCGCTGCGATTGGCTTCATCGTTGAGGATTTTTTTTTGATTTTTATTTTCGCCGAATTTTACGTTGGGCGCGTTGGCGTATGTAGCGCATACAAATATGCTTCGACGAGGGAAAATGGGTGTCATTTATCATTCCTTTTTGCGGTGTGGTGTGCTGCAGCGATGCTGGGCGGCTAGGGAACTCTGCCCGCTGAAGAAGTGACGGTGTTGCCCTTGACAAGGCCCAGGCGCGACCATAATACCCTAAATACCGAGTAAACTAAAAACAAGACGAACAAAAAATGAAAGATGAAGCGGTGTTTTTGTTGTTGTTTCTTTCTTTCTTTTTTCTGAGCATTCTGTGCTTATCTTTTTGTCGCTGATGTTAGTTTTGTTCTAAACTGTGTTTCATCGATGCCGCAGTGCTTTGATTTCTATATGTTTGGTTCCCGCCCCCTTCTTCTTCTACTTGTCTTTCGTTGGTGTTGCTCGCTTCCTTTTTGACGCTGTCGTCGTCATCACCCGGAAGAAGTGTGGCGTATTGAGGGTGCGTGAAGCGGAGGCTGGGGCGCGGCGTCGCAATAAATACAAAAGGATCCAGTAAGAAGCAAGCAAGCGGGAGGGGGAAAAAAACTGGTGAAAAATTACTGGTTTTAACGTTTATCAAAAACAATCACATAAAAGGATCTTTGGGTAAATCAAAGAAGTATAATTAATATATATATATATATATATATATATTAGAAACGCGTTGATGTACGTTAAGGAGTTGGGGTTGAAGCGTGCCGTGTACGACATCTGGCCGGTCAAAAATAAGCGGTTCTTTGTCCTGGTGGACCCACAAAACATCTTGGGAGAGACAACAGATTCCCGCGCCACAGTGAACACTATCGGCTACCTGCTAAAGAAAAAGGGAGCGGTGGTGGTGGGCGCGTCGTTCGGACCAATATGCGGTATTTCATTAAATTTACAGGGGCAGGTGCGCGAGGATGTGATTGAGGCCTTTCGCCGAGAGGAAGGCATGGGGCTTACCAACTTTTTCTTTTCCTTGTCACCCCAAGCGAAGATGGAGGTGTTGCGGGGGGTGCCGGGGTTTGTGTTCCCACTCACCTCCTCTGTTGAGTGCAGCAAAGGTATGACACGGGAATTTTCGCAACTGGAAAATGCGGCGAAACTCGACGCGTTACGTCGAGTATTTCCAAAGTCGGAGTTTGCTCCTGTTTCGACATTTCCATTTGTCGAGGCCCTTTCCAGACATCTTCCAGGTGTTAAGGTGACGTTTGCCCCAGATTGCTTGCGCCCTCCGTTGCATCAGCCTAGACCTGGGGAGGTATTGGTGCTAGAAAACTTGCAGTTTTATCACGATGAAACCTCGTCCGATCCGGAAAAACGAAGGGTCATGATGGAGTTACTTGCGGAAGGCATTGATGTGTTTGTAAATGAGTCCTTTGCCACAGCTAGCAAGGAGCATGCAAGCAACACGACCCTTCCCAAACTTTTACACCATGGTGCTGCGGGACTTTCTATGGGTCAGGAGTTGGCGTTTTTCTCCAAGTTTCTTACCCACCCTGTCCGACCTATCGCAGTGGTGGCTGCCGGGACACATATTCCGGAAAAACTGCTCCTGATACGGAGTTTAATAGGCAAGGTGGACAAGATACTTATCGCCGGTGCATTAGCAACTCCATTTTTGGCAGCCAAGGGATTAACTTATGGGAAGTTATTGAATTTTTCTGAGGTGGTAAAACGTAAACAAATGAACAACCGAGTTGGAACCATGGTAGTGGAGGCGATTCCTTGTACACAGTTGGCCGAGGAGATTATTTCATTGTGTGAGGAGAATGGGGTGGAATTGGTGTTGCCTGTTGATCATGTAGTGTCAAAGCAGTTGACAAACAACAAGGACACAGTGGCTGTCGTTGTAGAGTCTATGGCTGTCCCTTCAGATGTCTACGCTATGGATTGTGGGGCCAATACAATTGCTCTCTTCGCAAAGTACATTCGTGCGTGTCAGTGTGTGTTTTGGATTGGCACCTTTGGCTGGGTCAATCTTGCGTACACGGAGGGCACACACGCCTTTGCCACGCTGCTTGCGCAAGAGCGAAAACTGTCTATCATTGGTGGGCGTAGCACTGTCACCGCTGTTCAACAATTTGGGCTTGCCAAATTTTTTTCTCACGTGTCTGGCGGTGGGGTGTCGTGCTTAGAGGTGCTGCAGGGGCATCTTCTTCCTGGCGTCGAGGCGCTCTCTGATCTGACCCCAGCGCTGGACTCTAATAGTACGGTTTCTGTAGATGAATTGTTGAAAAATCTTCCTCTTTTTTCAGGGTGTACGTCGCACCAAATTCAGGTTATAGCACGGAAATTTGCGCGACGCCGGCATGCGTGTGGGGATTATTTGGTATACCGGGGAGACCGTCACGTAAGTATGTGGGTGGTTGCTGATGGTGGGTTAGTGGCACAACATGGCGACAATACCTTAACTATTCCTTCTAGATTCATTGGATGTGGGCAGACGGTGGGCATGTATGACTTTATTACCCAAGCCGTTGCGGCGGAAACAGTTCAGGCAGCTGTGAGTGAAACAATAACATATCAGCTAACATCCTTATCTTTTAATGACCTTCTTAATGAGCAATCAGACTTGGCGGCGCAGTTGCTACAGAATATTTCCGGACCTTTATCTATAATCGCAGCTGAAGAATATCAAGAACAAGCTTCTTTGAGGTGTGTCCTACATCGTGTTACCCTATGTTCCCGCGTACCGGGTCCATATGCTGTCCCCGAGGAATGGGGTTTAATTGAGGATATCGTACAGGATGTGGTATCAACATTGGCCTTGCAGAAATTGACGATGCAATACATTGATTACCCTACCCTCCCTCCGACACATCAGGATAGCAAAGTTTGGGAAAAGATAGCATGCCATGGTGGTCTTCTTCCGGCTCTAGGTGCAGCTGTTGTACGTGATTTGGAGTACCATAGATCCGTTTCGCTTGGGCCGATGTGTGCATCGGCCCGAGCTGCCCTCATTACTGTTCCCCTTCGTTTAATGGCAATGGGGCTCAACTGGCGTGGGTTAACCTACAGGGCACTATTGGATGAAGCACTTGTGTCACTAGCTGTTAGTTGGGCTCCACTGGCGGCGCATGCCGGCTTTCTCGCCGTGCAGCGCCGTTTAGAACTTATTAAGAGATCAAGGTGTTCGCGTCTTGTGCAACTTCTCATAATGGTCATTGTTAGATTGGTTCTAGGATTTGTTGTCTTTGCCCTGCTGTTTCGTCGCAGTCGTGACGTTGGGTCCATCTCACTGCTGGAGGCGTTCAGGAAAGATGCCTTTAAGGCGTACGAGCTGAAACATGCCATTTCGGTTTTTCTGCGCTTTGGAGTCCATTTGTTGCTGGGCGTGGTGTGGCAAGCTAACGCGTACCTGGTGGCACGGCATCACAGACCTTAACTTTCTGTCTCAAAGTAGGGTGAGAGTAACGAGACCGCGCGAAGGAGGGGGAGGGAGAAAGGGGGGGTGGGGGAGGCGGAATTGGATTTCGTGCAAATGCCGTTGAGTGTTGTATTCTGGTTGTCGGTTTTTTTTGTTTTTGTTTTTGTTGTGTGTTGGTTTCCTCTCGTGTGGTTGGATGTCTCTCTAGTTATCTCTCTCTCTCTCTTTAATACATGGAGTGAGAGAGAGAGAGAGTGAGAGGGATGTCGTCACCGTACCTTGCCTGCGATTGGGTGGTCAGCGGGCAGTACAAACGAAGTTAACCAAAACGGAGAAAACAATGCGCGACGCCCTAGATGTTTTCCGCAGAAGGGGTCCCCACAGACTCTGCTGAAGGTAATAAATGCATACTTCTTCTCTGGACGAAACGCTTTTGCGTTAGTGCTTCTCTTCTCTCCCCTGCGATTCCTATCGCCTCGCCGCAGCGGCCGCTGTGAAACCCAAAGGGAGGTAGTCGAGCTACACACATATAGATCGACGCCGAGACAGCTAATATACCTGTGCACCCGAGAAAAGGATTCACAAAGACTGTACGTATCAAGCAAGGAGAATCACATAATAAAACAAGAAAAAAAAAGTCAGTTAAGGAAGAAACCAGTGTTGGGGAATCAACGAGTAGAGGCAAACGCGGGGACAATAACACATACAAAAACAAAACAAAATTGCCAAAAAAGAGCATGTCTTGCTGCACCACAATTCCGGAGACAGTGGACAAGGGCCTTAACGAGAACGGGGAGTGCCTTGAGAGGACTGCCAAGGCTGTTAGGCTTTTTGAGAAGTCTATTGCCGAAACCATCAACCTCTACCAAGGGTTGATGAACTCCTTTGAGAAGGTGGCAAGCGTCTTTACGGAACTTTCAGATGAAAGCGACAGTCTCACCATTCAACTTACTCGAGGGTTTGCAGAAGGAATGAAGAAGCTGAGGGATGGGAGTGCGATGTCATCATTGCAGATGGATGTGACACAGTATGTGAAGGAAGGGATTCCACCCATTTTGGCTGAGCATGAGAGGCTTTACAAGTTCTACAAGCGCTTGCGGGAGATGAAAAAGAAGGAGGAATTGTATCGCTTCAAGATCGGCGAAACTGAGAAAGAATATGCAAGAAAGAACCGTCCACTTGCCGAAAGCAAGTCTTACATAAAATTGGGTAAAAGTCGTGACAAGGCGAGCCTTAAGTATCAAGAAAAGAAGGAAGAATTTGGTGTGGCCATGAGTCATTTCAAACGTCTCGTTGCATCTTTTCTGGAGACCTCTTTGCCTGGATACGCCGCGTGCAACAGCGGATTCTCGAGGCACTTGGGGGAGGTGATGGAATCATACTCGTCAGGCGGGGTACTGAGCAAAGCAGACAACGGAAGCGCCCTACACCAGCCGCAACACGAAATGTCAGAGAAAGCTGACAACCACAACGCAGTGCAACCTGGAGATGGCCCAAAGGAAGGGAATCCGCTCACGCTTGAGGAGCGGTATTACAGCCAAGAAGAATGGGCTACCCAGTAAGAAGTGGGAATCAAAAAGAGGAGTCAAAAAGTGCATGCGTGTAGTATTATGGTAAACACTAATGCGTTGTTGTTGTTGTTTTTTACTTATTTTTGGTGGTATTGCCCGCTCTGCCTGTTTTATCTCCACATATGCAGCTTGGTCGTGTTGGAATGCAGACGAATGTTTATTTATGATAGTTTTTTTTTTATTGCCATTATTATTATTATTTTTTTTTTTTTGCGTTTACAACCATCACCAATCATCTTCATCCTTATCAGCGCAATTCCGAAGGGGATACTGTAGAAAAAGGCGGTGATATTAAACGGAAACCCAAGAAAGGGGCAAAAGACGGCAAAAAAAAAATATGCTTACCCTCTGTTTAGGAACGAGGGGAAAGGGTGGGGAGAGGCAAAGGACCAATGCGAGATGGAAAGATGCACACCCCCTTCTCATGTATAAAAGCGGAGAACGTTTTTTTTTTTTTTGCTTTACCTGCGGTGTGTCGTCTTTGCGCCCTTTCCTACACCCCCCAAGCCTGGCACTGGGTGAAGGGAAGATGTCACCGCGCGCACCACCTGAACGTGCGTTTCGTGGGGAGGTGTGGTTATGTGTGTTTGCCTGTTTTGGGTTTGTGGAGTCCCCTCCCCACGCCTGTTTTCCTTGCGTCTCCTTTCCTGCCTCCTTATTTTGTAGGCGAATACAATAGTGAAAAAAAGCGCCCTGCGGCGGCGCTATTATTCTCAGTGGAGAGGCAGCAAACCCAGCCAGGTTTCTCCTTTTACTCCGCCACAAACATGGAGGACCACCAATCCCGGAAGGCGTACGGGAGCGCGCGTTGAATTATACTAGAGTTTTTTCAGGGATGCTGCAGTAAAAGGTGAGATATTTTTTCTTCTCTTTCCTTGTTTGCACCGTCCCGCCCAGCGCCTTCAGACCCGCTCTCGGCTGCTGCGTTAT